AATAGATTTTAAAATGTAATTTATTCCTGTGATCATACATAGGTAAATTTTCAGCATCATTACTCTTCAGTGTCACATGATCCTTCAGAAATCATTCTAATATGCTGATTTGCTGATTATCAATATTTAAAACAGGATTCAGGATTCTTTGATGAATAGAAAGATCCAAAGATCAGCATTTATCTCAAATAAAAAGCTTTTGTAACATTATACACTATTCCATTCAGTATAATTTTTATTATTTTTTTGGGAAAGAAATTATAGAAATACTTTTCTTTAGCAAGGATGCTTAAAATTGATCAAAAGTGATGATAAAGGCATTTATAATGTTACAAAAGATTTCTATTTCAGATAAATAGTGTTCATATCGATATCGGAATTATATCGTATCGACCGAAATTAAGAAATATATTGTGATATCAATTTTGGCCATATCGTCCAGCCCTACAGTCTCCTCTTGGCTTATATCAAAATCCGCCGATATTTTATCTTTACAAATCCTCGTTTTGTGCTTCTAATTCATGAACAGCATTTTGTTTTGTTCTCTATCCGTGCTCGTCACTAATCACGCAACGTCGACGTCTTACATCATCTGCCGGAACGCCTTCCGCATATGACAGAATACCGGAAGTGAGAGAAAAGTGTTTATTATGTTTGAAATATGGATATTTATCTTACAAAAATGCATGGATTCGCTACAGCAGGCCTTTATTCACCCCCCGGAGCCGTGTGAGGGATGTTTTATGGATGCACACACTTTATTTCATGTCTTCTGAACTGTTGACAACCAACACCCGCTTAACCCCATTGAAAGGCTTGGAGGGGCCAGGACAATTTTTAATATAACTCCGATTGGATTCATCTGAAAGAAGAAAGTCACATACACCTTGGATGCTTTGAGGGTGAGTAAAACACAAGCTAATTTTCATTTTTGGGTGAACTAACCCTTTAAGATTTCCACATTTTTCTGTGATTTCCGTTAACTGTCTGTGGTTGGAAAATCAGGGCTAAAATTGTGTAGTGGTCACTGGGTAGCATAAAAGTCCATGTTACTTGTGTGCCAAGTGATTGCAAGATTGGAATTAATGCTTTTAATCGTGAATTGTCTCAAAAGGTTTGACATAAGTGATGCCGAATGGCACAGGATAGCTCTTGAAAGTGCAGATGCAATTTTAGCACAGTTTAGCACAGGACATAAGTTGCATGAGCTAATTTTATAGTGGTTTCTTCCATTTGTCATTTTTGGGTGAACTTTTCTTTAACCCAGGGGTGTCCAATCCTGCTTCTGGAGGGCCACTGTCCTGCAGCGTTTAGCTCCAATCCCAAATATACACACCTGTACCATCTAATCAAGGTCTTACTAGGCATACTAGAAACTTCCAGGCAGGTGTGCTGAGGCAAGTTAGAGCTAAACTCTGCAGGACACCGGCCCTCCAGAACTGAGTTTCGACACCCCTGCTTTAACCTGTACTTATGCAGCAGTAGATTCTGCAGTCCATAACATTTTAGCATAGATCAGTCTAATGTGTGAGTAAATTGCTACCTGTTTATTTGAAACTTGCGGTACATGAGGGCTATCCAGTGATGGAGCCAAGGTAGCTCATACTCAAACCACAGTTGTCCATGAAACACAGGATAGATGCAAGCAGCGGCCGTCGGGTAGGATGAAGAGCCACACTCACCCGGATAGGACAGCAGTAACCCTGATCCAGAGCCCTCACTTACTGCAAGCAAAGTTGAGGTTGGATGATGACTCCACAAGTATGCTACTGCTTGCACAAGGTCAGAAGCATTTCCAAACTCCTGGTAGTGTGGAGTAGTCAATGGGCAGTCACCATGACCACGTCGATGGAAAACCACTGGATAGAAGCCCTGTTGCAAAGTCTGGTAGCACAACGTGAGCAAGTGTGGTGTTACTCTGCCTAGGGTGTTGGGAATTATAACAACAATAGCAGGATTACTAGAGCGATGGCACAGAAATCTTCCTCCAGGATGATGATCCCTTTTGGCCTGAGCTTGTTGGTTCGTCAGACTCACAGCCCAATCCAGAGCCACAATACCCCCATCCTTTAGGAGAAGGTTATCCCATGTAAAGCGGACTCCTCCTTGCAGTTCAGCACCTTCCTTTGTGGGCCAAATTGAGATTGGTAATTATCTGAAAATGAGGGTCAGCCTGAGGCCATCATGCCAGCGGAGGCTGGGCCAAAGTATAGCAATGTTTCTTCAGGTGGCTGGCAAGGGCCGTGGGTTTACAGATCAGTATGACTTCTGCCTGGCATTCTTCTGTGGATTCTGATACTGTAAAGCATGGCAGTTTCAAGAGTCTACAGGCCATAATCCACATACAGTGACTCAACTGCTGAACAGTACTGTCTTCAAGAAGACAGATCCAGCTCCATTGATGCAGTATCATAACCAGAACCAGCAGCAGAGAAGGTAGCAGGCAGAGGAATAAGTCCCACATTGCTCTCAAATTTGTAACCTATAGGTCTAACCAAGGGCACAAGGAACCTACCTTAACACTGAGGTTGGTGGACAATGGTTTTCTCAAGTGAGCAAATGGAAAAACACTGAAGTTTTTTTTTTTTAAACTAAATGATCTGTTCTACTATTAGTGCATCAGCCTAAATGGACTTGCACAACAATCATTAACAATACTTTAATCCACAGTCTGTCTGACAGCAGTCTAATGGAACTAATGGAGGTTTTGCCACTTGGATGTCTGAGATTCAAGTAATTCTTTCCTTTACTGACTTCAGAATCCACTTCAAGTTCTACAGAGGTAGAACGCATTGAAAAGTGACCATTAACAGCTCACCATCTGAATAGGGAAGAGACCTTGAGGATATTGCACCCAAACCAGTACCCTTTGTTCCTGAGTTGTTTATATAATAAATCTGTGCTAGCTGTACGGTCCTATAACTAAAAACTGAACAGATGCTGTTTGCTATGTGCCTAGAAATAAATAAGTCGCAGAGTGAGTAATTAACCATGGTGAATGTGTCATGTGTGTCCATGCATTTTTATGAGCAAGTGACTGTATACAACAATGGCAACATTTTTTTTTGTACAAAAAGAGTTTTATTCAAACCATAATACTCACGATTTATCCTCTACATAAACACAAAACAATGTCTTTGGTTTTGATATTTTGCTTTTTCATGTTTTTTTTTTATATTTACACTTTGAAATGTTAAACAGAAGCTACATGAGTTTTAATTGTGTTGGTCAAAGCTGGAAATGCAGAGGTGTGTAAAATGAGAGATTAGTAGCAATTTAAGAGTCAATAATGCAAGCACTCTTACAAAGAGGGACAAGTAGAGACATGTTGTCTATGCAAACATCCTTTTGCTTTTTATGTTAAATCATTAGATTAACATTTGATATCTTTATATAAAGATTTCCAGGAGCTACCTGCATCTGCCTTAAGGAACTGTTCACCCAAAGATGAAAATCATGTTCTCATTTATCTACGTTTCTTTTAATCTTATCTAGAATGTTCAGGCTGTTTTTTTTCATGCAATGAAAGTGTGTATTGATGCTGTCAAGCTTCAAGTTTCAAAAATGTGAAGGAAAAAAACTACAAAAAAAACAGTATAATACTAATACACACACCAATACACGCATACACCATATGCAAAGTCTTCTGAAGCTATGTGGTCTATATATAGTTTTATATGAAGAACAGACTAAAAGCAGTTATTTTTAATTCCTTCTGCTGTAGATCTCAAATATATGTGCATGTTTTGATTTAAAGATTTTTTTTAAATAGTTTTGCAAGAACTAATAATCTTTCATGTCGCTGATGGCACGATGCATCTTGTGCTTGTTCCCCACAGTTATCCTAAGTCTTCAGAACATTTGGAATATAGTGCACGAGTGCACTTTTTTGTGCTTTTTTTTGTCATTTTTGGAGCTCCACAGCCCGAGTAATCACTCACCATTCATTGTATGGAAAAGAGCAGCTTGGACATTTAGCAACAACTTTCATATCTACTGAAAAATAAACGTAATAGTTTAACAATATGAGGATTAGTTTATCAAGAGTATATCATTTTTGGGTGAACTGTTCCTTTATGATAAAATGGCATGAAGTGATGTGCAGAACTCTCAAGCCAGGTATGCACTACACTACACTACATTTTAGGCCTGGTTTTTCTGGAGATCAGCCTTAAATCTGAGGCAAATCGGTGCTCTTTCATGTGAGTGACTATCATATAGTGTGAGATCATATATAGTGGAGACAATCTGAGAAACAATCTGAGAAAAACACTGATACCCGAGAAGTAATTAGCAGGCTAAAACACATTTCACTCTGCAACTCAGTCTTGCAGAGTGAAATGTGTTTTGACTGGAAATCACATTGGCGACGACTTACAGCCAATAAGAGAACAAGATATAACGCAAGGGAAATACCGAGAAGTCATCTTTTTTGTTGTGGATTCTTCCTAGTGAAACTGTGTGATGTGTGACCCACAGTCCCCGATCCGTTGTTATGTGTAAACCACAGCAACTTCGTGATACCCAAAAAAGTTAGTGTAGTGTGAAAAGAACAGCAATCCGATGAAAATTGTGTAGTGTATTGGCGGCATTACTGAGCTCACTACTGTCCTGACATATCATAGTCATGCCATACATGTTGCTTGTCCAGAGCTGACCAAATAAGGGCTACATATGCTACCATCTGATCCCAAGTCCTGGTCTTTACAATGAGGTATATTCACACAGAGACTACCAAAGAGACTACCAAAGACTGTTAACCACTACAGAAAGCTGCAGCTACATTTCTTCTGCCATTATTTGACAGCATTTAAGGTTAAAAAGCAGTAAGTACATTAAAGGATTTGTAAATCCTAAAATGAAGGTGGTTTTGCCTACCTTTTGAATAGCTGACATAAATTCTTCCTGATATGATTCCTTAAGCATTTAAGGAATACAGCTAATATTGTGTACTACTACACAATATTAACAATTTTTCTACAAAGCATCAGGACGAGCATTATAAGTGCCTTTGCCAAATTAAATCTCCTAATTCTCCAAAATGGAACTACTGTATGATTTATTCACATTTAGAAAAAGCCTGTGAAGTCAATTGGCGGTACAGCCAGTTGAACCGGAGTTACGGTGTTGATAATAGCTGGTGTGAGTTGAGGTGGCTTGGCCTATCTGTGCTCATACTTTAGTTGTGAGGGGTTAGCAGTGAATTGGGCAGAGTGCATAGGATGAGTTAGCTTTATTCAGACTGTGCCATTAGTGTACTTAGAGAGTTTATTCTCTAAGTCACAGATTCGTTTCTCCTGAGAGAGAACTGTGGCCTTCAGATTTTGGATCTCCTCAACAAGCTTCTCCAACAACTGAGGCTAGAGTTTGAAAGAGATTGAGAGAAAGCAAAGGAGAAGATGGCAGTTGGAAAGAGAAAACAGAAGAGAGAAGAATAGTGACAGTAGAAGAAGGATGAATATGAGCACACAAGAGAGGGGGAAAAATGCAAAAGAGCAAGTCAAGGACAGGCTTAATTTGGAAATGGAAAGAAATCTTTAGCTTTTAGGGATGGGAATCAAAAGGAATTGAATGATTCTGATTCAGATTACACTTACATTGTGGTTTCCACAATTCAATTCTTCAGAGTACCAAATTTCAAAGTACAAAAAAACTGATCCAAACTATATTAGTCACAAGAGTCAAGTGTCACCAACTAACTTGACTGATTCAGTGATTCAGAGTTATTTTGTGATAGTGTGATAAGAGTTATTTTGACTGTTTCATTAAAGGGGTCATATGATGTTGCTAAAAAAACATTATTTTGTGTATTTGGTGTAATGCAATGTGTTTACGCGGTTTAAAGAAAAAAAAAAAAAACAGTATTTTCCAGATACTGTACATTATTGTTGCTCCTCTATGCCCCGCCTTTCTGAAACATCGTTCTGAAAAGCGCAGTGGGCTTTGATTGGCCAGCTATCCAGTGCATTGTGATTGGCCAAATACCTCAAGCGTGTAACGGAAATGTTACGCCCCTTACCAGGTTCAGGAAACTTTCCTCCGTAAAATGAGCTGCAAACACTTGAATATTTGGGTTGTACTCTTCTGGAACTGTGTTGTAAATAAAAATTAACCACTGATTTCTAGTTGTGTTCTAGAAGGTTTAGCAACAACTTTCATATCTACTGAAAAATAAACGTAATAGTTTAACAATATGAGGATTAGTTTATCAAGAGTATATCATTTTTGGGTGAACTGTTCCTTTATGATAAAATGGCATGAAGTGATGTGCAGAACTCTCAAGCCAGGTATGCACTACACTACACTACATTTTAGGCCTGGTTTTTCTGGAGATCAGCCTTAAATCTGAGGCAAATCGGTGCTCTTTCATGTGAGTGACTATCATATAGTGTGAGATCATATATAGTGGAGACAATCTGAGAAACAATCTGAGAAAAACACTGATACCCGAGAAGTAATTAGCAGGCTAAAACACATTTCACTCTGCAACTCAGTCTTGCAGAGTGAAATGTGTTTTGACTGGAAATCACATTGGCGACGACTTACAGCCAATAAGAGAACAAGATATAACGCAAGGGAAATACCGAGAAGTCATCTTTTTTGTTGTGGATTCTTCCTAGTGAAACTGTGTGATGTGTGACCCACAGTCCAAGAGTTATTTTGACTGTTTCATTAAAGGGGTCATATGATGTTGCTAAAAAAACATTATTTTGTGTATTTGGTGTAATGCAATGTGTTTACGCGGTTTAAAGAAAAAAAAAAAAAACAGTATTTTCCAGATACTGTACATTATTGTTGCTCCTCTATGCCCCGCCTTTCTGAAACATCGTTCTGAAAAGCGCAGTGGGCTTTGATTGGCCAGCTATCCAGTGCATTGTGATTGGCCAAATACCTCAAGCGTGTAACGGAAATGTTACGCCCCTTACCAGGTTCAGGAAACTTTCCTCCGTAAAATGAGCTGCAAACACTTGAATATTTGGGTTGTACTCTTCTGGAACTGTGTTGTAAATAAAAATTAACCACTGATTTCTAGTTGTGTTCTAGAAGGCCAAACAAAGTAGTTTGGCTTTCGCAACAAACCACACAGCGTCTCCACGACATGGCGGCGACAGCAACAATATTACAGCGAGAATATAGTTACGCCTTCTTTCTTTGCGTATACATTTGGGCGGTGTTATGCAAGTCTTCCCACACAGTGACGTAGATATGTGGGGGCGTGTTTGAACAAGGCGTTTTAGGAAGGCGTGGATGAGCGTTCACTTTTATAAAGAATATCTCTTTGGGTTTGAGACTTTAATCTTTGCGACTTTACGGATCTTCTGTATGCACAAAAAGCTTTTAACCCTTAAATGCATACCTCGGGTCTCAACTTTCTTAGTATTCCTCAATCTATTAATTATAAACAATATAACAAGAAAAAAATAGTAAAATATAAAAGAATGGCAGTTTTCTGATATATAAAAAGTATATACGGTCGCTAGAGAGCCGAGGTATGTAAATGTGTAAGTATTTTTTCCTGCGCAACTATATTTACATATCTGATTACTTAATATGTGCAATGCATCTTTTTTCCTGAAGGTGGCACGGTTTGATACACAATGATGACGTGACGTTTCACTCATAATTACCGCAGGCATAAAACAAACGAATATCATCAGCAAAAACTGAAGTGATTTGAATGGCTTTACTGCAGAGCAATTACTATACGCAATGAAATATAAATGTCACTTTTGATGCTGGATGTGCTGAATAAGCTGCCAGTGATCAAAATATTGAATATGAAGTCTTTGAAAATGATAGTTTTGAGAATATGGCTGAGATCGTGAATATGAGGCAGATGCTGAATATACTGTGGAAGTGCGCTCTGACGATGACAGCGATGGTAAAATCATCTGCTCACCCTTTTAAGTTTCAAAAGGTAACGAAATATGCTTTATTTGATTCTTCTGTAATTGTTCTTAAAATATCAAGAGAGTTTTTTGCTATTGCAGCAGTTAGAGATCCATCCGTATGGGATATATAGGTCCGGGTTCCTAAAGACCCGAATATGTAATAATGATTGGCGAAACATTCATGCATTTAAGGGTTAACACTCCAAAGACAAAGGAAAACATGAAATTGCATCATATGACCCCTTTAAAAAGAACCAGTTAATTTAAGTCATTCATCTGTGATTTGAACTGATACACTGTATGTTTTTTGTTCCATGGACAATGTATTAAAAACTGTTTTAATGATATAATTTAGTGGTGCTTTTTATCGAATCAGACATCAAGCTACAGCTTAAACATTCATCTGCCGTAGCATTATAGATTAAAAACCACAGAAAACATTGTTAGGGTATGTTGTTATAATGTTCCAATTAATTATTATAATTTTTTTTGTTTGTTTAATTGTTTTTAAATGAACCCGATTCTGAATAAAATTCCCAGCCCTATTTGCTTCTTGATAAATGCTAGAAAAGAAGGTGATGAAGGAACAAAAGCTATGAAAAAGACATTTTAAGACCAAGGATAAGCAAGATATTCTACTTACGGGCAAACTACTTCCATCTACGACAGACATGCTTCTACGTGTCGCAGGTCTGGTGTCTAGAACATTCTTCTTGGCCACCTTTAGCTCTCTACTCTTTGGAGGAATATAGCCATCCCTCATTGACACTAATATGGGGTCTGCGTCTCGTCCGTCCATCCATTCTTCAGGTTCCAGAGCTGGCTCTGGGCCTGCTGTGTCTGGGTACAGATCATCCTGGAACAGGTCCGACTGGCATCATAGCAACAGAAAGAGTAAAATGTAACTGGATGAACAGATTTTACATACTTCATCATCATATAATCAACTTTTGGTTTCAAATACTTCAGTTTTGTTGGATTTGTGTTCATAGTGGTTCAGGATTGAAATAACCCTCAACAAAGAGTATGTGCTTACCTTTCTGGGTACTGTCATCATAATAGGCTCACACTTTCTTTCATGGAGTTTATATAATCTATATGAGGAATAATACAAGTTTCAGGAATGCTCAATGTGAATGTTTAGAATAACATATACCGATGAATTGTGCACAATAAGACACAAAATGAGTACTGAGAAAGTAAAAGGATCCATTTTGATTTCTTGTAGAGAAAAGTCCTTTCAAAAACAAGCAAATGTTTGAAAAGACCAGAATGACACCAACTTCTATACTTTCCCTCAAAAAAAGTACATTGATTATATATGATTTTATCTTCAGGATTCTTTGATGAATAGAAAGCTCCATAGAACAGTATTTATTTGAAACACAAATCTTTTGTAACATTACAAATATCTGTCACTTTTCATCAATTTAATGTGTCCCTACTAAATAAAAGTATAAATAAATCTCACTGACCCCAAACTTTTGAACGCCAGTCTAGATATATGGTATTTCTGTACACCACATTTTAAAGTAACTATAACACATATCCAAATTAACCAGTTTAACCATGCAAATCTGACCTGGCAATCTCACACTTGCTGACGTCCACTCCTCTCTTGGGCATGAAGCCCATTCCTCTCTGTGGCTCCTTGCTACTGAATGTGCTGATGTAATGCACATAGGGAGGCTCCTCTGTGATCTCAAAATATCGAATACTGCTGTCACCCTGTGGAGACATGGAAACAACTTTACAGCGCCAGCCTGAGTACGATAGCAAATGGAGATGAAACAAGGAGTCATACCTTGCCGCTAAGATACATGATGTTAGTGTCTGGATCATAAAAAGGCAATAAAACTCCATTACTTGTGTCCAATTCCAACAATGCTATGGGCTCTTCAAAATTAGTCTAAACAATGACAGAAATGAACACCATCAGGGATTTGAAAGAAAACAACTGCAGTGAAATAAAACTGATCAACATATAGAACAATGATTATTAATGAGCCTTAAATAGATAAATTAACATTTTGTCACAATTTAATCACCCTCATATCATTCCAAACCCATAAAACTTTGGTTAATCGAGACACAAATTCAGGTATTTCAATGTATCCTGAGAGGTTTCTTTCTGTCCACTGAAAGTCCAGGTAATCAAAACTTAGAATATTCAAAAAGGCCACAAAGGCATCATAAAAGTAAACATTTTGAAGAGATATGAGTTATGAGCAGATTTCATTTAGACTTTTATTTACTGTATATCTAAACAATGATCGACACACATACATAGCGCACATCACATATGGCAAACAACCAGCTCAAACATGTATGCGTTACACAGGAGAACCAGTGAGGTTTGTTCTAGCGTGTGACACACACACAAGCTTCCATGTTTAACTTATGTGATGTATGTGTTTATATGTGAATAAAATCTTATAAAGATATCATATCTCTTCATAAGACTTGGATTAAACCGCTCAATTCATACAGATTGATTTTACAACGCTGTTTTTGGATCTTCTAAGTTTTACTTACCTGGACTTTCAATGCAGGGACAGAAATTTCTCAGGTTTCACTAAAAATATTTTAATTTGTGTCGAAGATTAGCCAAAGCAAACTAGGTATGGGATAGCATAAAGGTAAGTAAATTAACTATCCTTTTCATTTTGCTCCATTACCGGATCCCACAGGCCAAGCTCTCTCTGGCTCATCCGGGTGAAACCTGTGGTGAAAATGTTGCCCTCTTTGGTAAAAATGGCTCTCATTGGCCGGATGCCCTCATGTGGAGACAGTCTTTCCTACAGAAGAAAAAATGTCCATAATGACCAAGTTTACCAACAGCCCTGAGGGTTTTCTTCTTTTCTCTACTATAATACTTACCGCCACCACCTCGTTTTTCCGGGCATCACACACTCGAAGGCGACGGTCCTTGCAGGTAGTGCAAAACAGGCTACCGTTGTAGTTCCAGCTGACGTTATAGATGAGATCAGGATGGTCATCCATTGTCATCAAGGGTTCTCCAGTGCCCACATTCCAGATGATGATCAGATTATCACTGCCTGAGACAAAAGCACACTGAATGGAAACCATCTGCATGGTGGGACCAAGACTTTCCACTGCTTCTAATTTATTTCCAATGAAATTAAGTAATCTTATTTTTATACACTTGTATATCTATTTAATGTAAGAAGTTGGTGTCTATTAAAAAGCAGTACTGATCTTTACCTGCAGTGAGGAGTATGTTGCGAGCAGTGGGGTGCCATTTGATGATGCCCACACGTTTAGAGTGACCCTCCAGCACCACAATGGGCTCACTGATGGGACGAGAGGGAGTGTGGTCAGGGATCTGCCATACCTGAGTATACACAACTCTATTAGCGAAACGGTTCTCAACTGGGGTGCCTCAACAAACTTCCAAAGATTTAATATTTTATTATAATTATTTTAATATTTTTTAGATCATCCTGCAACCTGGATGACTTAAATATATTTGTATTTTTTTTAACAGAATTACTAAAAATTATTTTAAAAACATAAAATAAATATTGTAAAGACATACAGACATGTTCATCTGCTTTAAACGTAAGAGTGTAGAAAAATCCCACACTACTCAAACTTCATTAAGCCTGAGGATGGCTGATTGACCACAATGCTGCTAATACAATTTTGTAATTATACTAGTTGTATATATTGCAATTGTTTTTGTTTAAAATGTTCTGTAGTAAAATAATACGGTAATTAAACAAGAATAATCAATTAGCCTAGAAAACATTTGGTGTAGAAACAATTTTCCAATAATCTTTGTTTCATTTACAACTTCGAACCATATGTATTATTTTAATATTTTTTAGATCATCCTGCAACCTGGATGACTTAAATATATTTGTATTTTTTTTAACAGAATTACTAAAAATTATTTTAAAAACATAAAATAAATATTGTAAAGACATACAGACATGTTCATCTGCTTTAAACGTAAGAGTGTAGAAAAATCCCACACTACTCAAACTTCATTAAGCCTGAGGATGGCTGATTGACCACAATGCTGCTAATACAATTTTGTAATTATACTAGTTGTATATATTGCAATTGTTTTTGTTTAAAATGTTCTGTAGTAACATAATACGGTAATTAAACAAGAATAATCAATTAGCCTAGAAAACATTTGGTGTAGAAACAATTTTCCAATAATCTTTGTTTCATTTACAACTTCGAACCATATGTTTTTTTTTTACAGTTTACAGATTAAACTGTCTGGGTATACTTATATATTGGATTGAAGATAAGTAGTATTGTTCCTTTGGTTTCCAGTGAGCACAGCAGCAATGCCAGCACAGAGGACAGCTGCAGTTAACCTCCTCTAACAGCAGTGCATACAGTGCATGCCATTCACGTTTGTAATGTAATGTAATGAAATAGCAGTAATAGCACTCATATAGTATAATACATCTCCACATCATCTTGCTAAACTCTGGGGAAATGCATCCCATATCCGTTTTCAATAGATTATATAATACTTTCAGCATTTATACTCAAATTTCAAATGTCTGAATGCTATTGCAGTAGATACAAAACAAACCAAGTGACATCTGCAAGCAAATACTTTAAATAGCTTTTCTAGTAGCAACTTTACTTTCCTAAGCCACTTTTGTTCAGATTCACACAGGTGTTCTAGAAGCTGGAGTTGTATTTGTCTTAATTTTGAACAGTGACACACTGAATAAAAAGAACAAATAATAAAAAAAAACTGGTGTAGGATTTACTTTGAAACTATTTTTGCTTAGAAATTGCTAGTAAATTTCACAAATAGTTACAAAGAAATAGCAAGTAACACATTGAATTACAGGTGTTCTAGAAGCTGGAGTTGTATTTGTCTTAATTTTGAACTGTGACACACTGAATAAAAAGAACAAATAATAAAAAAAAACTGGTGTAGGATTTACTTTGAAACTATTTTTGCTTAGAAATTGCTAGTAAATTTCACAAATAGTTACAAAGAAATAGCAAGTAACACATTGAATTAAAAAGTAAAATTTTACATTTTGTAAAATGTACGCCAATAATCCTTGTTTTTATAACTTTGAAAAAACACTTTTTACAGTGTATTGTTTTATTATTTTAACTTTTCGTGAAATTCTTTTCCTTGAAAGAGGTGCTTATGTTACCTTTATTTATTTTGATCTAATGTAATGACATTTATACACTAATAAGTATGGCTTAAGTGTCCAAATACTTCACGAGGTCACCATATACAGACATGTTTGTGCATGAGGACATGCGCATGTTCCAGTGTGTGCTGAAAATGAAATGATTCATCCCTATAGACAACTCAGACCCATCATTCCTTGTCTGTCATTACCACTGGCTTATTTGTGAACAGGTTTCTGGCCAAGAGTGCCATACTAACATGTGTTTATAAATACCAGCTCCTGTCCCATGCCCGAACCGTTAACTCCAGTCATCACCCTTCATATTAACACTATTGTCTTTCACCGTGATCTTTCCCTCCAGTGTAAGTAGGTATATATGGAGGCATGCTGCATTTGTTAGTAAAAAATGCAACTGAAACATGTTCATGACTACAAGGCTAGCGGCTGGCAGGCAGAGGAGACGTTTATGAATGTCTGTCATGATGATTACCATGGCAGTGGTGTCTTCAGAGCAGCTGGCCAGTATGTTGTCATTGTGAGGACACCAGTCAATGTCCAGAACAGGCCCTGAGTGTCCAACCACTAGAGGGTAGTTTTTGTCCACTCGACCCACCTATAGCATATTAAAACAAGGAATAAAAGATCATGTTAAGTATTGCGACACATATAAAGTCAGTATATAGTCTTAATATAAACAACCATCAAATGTTTGGGGTCAGTAAGACTTTTTAATCTTAGTCTCTTATGTTCACCATGGCTGCATTTATTTGATCAAACATACAGTATAAAAACCAATATGGTAAAACATTACAATTTAAAAATAACTGGTTTCTATTTTAATATATTTTCAAATGTAATTTATTCCTGTAATGATAATGCTGAATTTTCAGCAGCCATCACTCCAGTCTTCAGTGTCACATGATTCTTTAGAAATTATTCAAATATGCTAATGAAATGATCAAGAAACATTTCTTATTATTATAAATATTGAAAACAGTTGCTTAATATATATATTTTAAAACCATTATACTTTTTTTCAGGATTCTTTGATTAATAGAAAGCCTAAAAGAACAGCATTTATTTGAAATATATATTTTTTGTAACTTCCTGAATAAAAGTATTCATTTCTTTTAAAAAATTATATATATAACGGTTATTGATCTATCATTTTTGTAATCCTTTTCGCTGCATGCACATTTTCCATGCGGTCCTGTCACCGAATAATTTCCCCCTTAATAGAAATCATCCTCCTTGTGTGTATTTATAACCCTGTGATGAGGCGTTGAAAAGGGAGTTTTTCTTTTGGCCTGCCTGAGACTGAGTACAGGGGAGATGGCTTGCTGAGTATTTATAGCGTGTCTTTCCAGGCCTGCTGATATATGCTCGTGACTCGGCAGAGGCTACACTAAAAGGGCATTAACTGATGATGGACCCTTAGAGAATCAAGACAAACTCACAAAAATAGATTCAATGATGTGATTCGCTGCTGTTTATCAATATATTACGCTTGACTTTGATTCGACAAAGGTCGCACATGCATTAGCAACAACTAGAAGTACTTTAAGATGCTTTTTAATGTCAAACTCAACATTTCTACAATAGTTTCTATTGTGGAAGACCTGTTTGATTGCGTAACCTACATCAAATTCAAATAAGAAATTTATACAGTAGTCCCAAATGTAGTTATTTTAACACTTAAACTACATTTAAAAATACCAAATAACAAAAATATCAGACCAAGTGGCATTTATTATAAAGAAAGATAGCACACTCACACTTTTAGACAGTCTTTGGTTGTCAAATATCTGTTCATCAGTAAATATGATAGCACTATACCTGTGTGAACAAACACTAAAATGACCTTAGGGCCAATTGAGAGGAATTTCTAAAAAGAAAAATAAATTTGGACAAAAAAAAGAAAGGTGTGCCACTTGTTTGAAATGCTGTTATCTAATGACATTTAGGCATTTTTAAATACTTTCAGGCATGTGTAAATACTTTTTTAAACCACTTTATCTGTGAAATGCATTTATTTGAAATATATTTTGTATTATTATAAATTTCTTTACTGTACTTATAGCGTGTCTTTCCAGGCCTGCTGATATATGCTCGTGACTCGGCAGAGGCTACACTAAAAGGGCATTAACTGATGATGGACCCTTAGAGAATCAAGACAAACTCACAAAAATAGATTCAATGATGTGATTCGCTGCTGTTTATCAATATATTACGCTTGACTTTGATTCGACAAAGGTCGCACATGCATTAGCAACAACTAGAAGTACTTTAAGATGCTTTTTAATGTCAAACTCAACATTTCTACAATAGTTTCTATTGTGGAAGACCTGTTTGATTGCGTAACCTACATCAAATTCAAATAAGAAATTTATACAGTAGTCCCAAATGTAGTTATTTTAACACTTAAACTACATTTAAAAATACCAAATAACAAAAATATCAGACCAAGTGGCATTTATTATAAAGAAAGATAGCACACTCACACTTTTAGACAGTCTTTGGTTGTCAAATATCTGTTCATCAGTAAATATGATAACACTATACCTGTGTGAACAAACACTAAAATGACCTTAGGGCCAATTGAGAGGAATTTCTAAAAAGAAAAATAAATTTGGACAAAAAAAAGAAAGGTGTGCCACTTGTTTGAAATGCTGTTATCTAATGACATTTAGGCATTTTTAAATACTTTCAGGCATGTGTAAATACTTTTTTAAACCACTTTATCTGTGAAATGCATTTATTTGAAATATATTTTGTATTATTATAAATTTCTTTACTGTACTTTTTTTTTTTTTTTTGCAATTTGATCATCTTACTGACCCCAAACTTTTGAATGATAATATATGTGACCCTGGACCACAAAACCAGTCATAAGGGTAAATTTTTCAAAATTGAGATTTACACCATCTGAATAAATAAGCTTTCCATTGATGTATGGTTTCTTAGGATAGGGCAATATTTGGCCGAGATGCAACTATTTGAAAATCTGGAATCCGAGGGCGCAAAAAAATCTAAATATTGAAAAAAATCGCCTTTAAAGTTGTCCAAATTAAGTTCTTAGCAATGCATATTACTAATCAAAAATTAAGTTTTAATATATTTACATTCGGAAATTTACAAAATATCTTCATGGAACATGATCTTTACTTAATATCCTAATGATTTCTGGCATACAAGAAAAATCTATAATTTTGGCCCATACAATGTATTTTTGGCTATTGCTACAAACATACTTAAAGGGGTCATATGATGCGATTTCAAGTTTTCCTTTCTCTTTGGAGTGTTACAAGCTGTTCGTGAAGCGATTATGGTAAGGGGCGTTACATTTCCGACGAGTGCTTGCGGTGTTCGGCCAATCACAGTGCACTGGGTCAGCTGGCCAATCAGAGCAGACTGCGCTTGTCGGAAGGAGGGACTTTGTAGAAAACTAAGCGTTTGAGAGAGGCGGGGCATAGAGGACCTACAATAATGTACAGTATTTGAAAAATAATGTGTTTTTTTGTACATTAAAGCATCAACATATTATGTTACACAAAATAATGATCTTTAAAAAAGCATAATATGACCCCTTTAATACAAGCGACTTAAGATGGTTTTGTGGTCCAGGGTCACATATGTATACATTTTGTAATCTGAATACTTTTAACTGCATCCCATATTTGACGTTTACCCAGGAAGTAGTTTTATTTGGCCCCGTTCTTTAGCCCAGCTCATTCTATTTTCTCAAATTTTACAGAAATTGAAGGTTGTGTTCATCAAATTCAACTATTCAATCCTGTTACCAAAATGTAAAAAAAAACATTTAATGTATGAGAAATAACAACTCATATGAATCTAATCTATATATTACGTGATAATAACAGTAGAAACTTCATGTTTATGCTTAAATTAGTCAATGTCAGTTTAATGATGAGTCTATAAGTAATTCCACTAGGTAGAAATGTCTAGTGCGTATGGATGCATTCTGAAGAAACCAATGACAGAGGAAAGAAGATATAAACCTATATATATGATGACATACTAATGATATGATCTTCATGAACTGCATTAGAAATCTGATGTTGTAAAACATGCTTACTATTTTCATAGTTCCATGAGTATTTGTGATAAAATGTTATAATGGACAAACGATCATCATATTGGCATATTGATTTCCATTGGTTTGCCGATACTGCAGATGCAAGCTGCTAAGTAACATACAGTGGGGGAAAAAAGTATTTAATCAGCCACCAATTGTGCAAGTTCTCCGACTTAAAAAGATGAGAGAGGCCTGTAATTTTCATCATAGGTATACCTCAACTATGAGAGACAAAATGAGGAAAAAAAATCCAGAAAATCACATTGTAGGATTTTTAAAGAATTTATTTGCAAATTATGGTGGAAAATAAGTATTTGGTCAATAACAAAATTTCATCTCAATACTTTGTTATATACCCTTTGTTGGCAATGACAGAGGTCAAATGTTTTCTGTAAGTCTTCACAAGGTTTTCACACACTGTTGCTGGTATTTTGTCTTTTTAAGTGGGAGAAATTGCACAATTGGTGGCTGACTAAATTACTTTTTTGCCCCACTGTATAAGAAGAGATGGCAATGCATGATGGGGATTACATCAACTCAAAAAGGCTTACTCAGCTTCGGTATGTCACAGAAGTAGTTTCAGACAACATATGCAAGTTGTGTACCCTGTTTCCATGGGGTTCAAACCTTTGCCTCTATGAGGGTGAAATGGAAGCCCTGTGGGGGATGGGCACCCTTAACATGAGCCATGGCTGAGGCTCTTGAACAAACATACCCATAAATATAGCCCCATGAAGCTGAAAGAATAGACAAGGGTTATATGGTTGTACATGTTTCAGTAGTTTTCTCCTCAAGCCACTCACCTGTGAGAGAGGCAGAACCAGAAAGGCCCCGCCTCCACTGGACTCCACTATAACTGCCAGAAACTTTGGGTTAACTGCACAGAAGGAACTGTCCCATGTCACTTTGGAAACCCGGATATCATCAAAACTTTGATCTGCTTTCACTGCTTGCCCAAAAACATGCCGGAACTTACTCTGGCGCACAATGCTGCGACTCATGGCTGTGAAAAACAGAGAAACATATTGCATGTGTATGTGACACATATATATACATATATATATAATTGCCTATATAATACGTGGAATATTTAATCATTATTTGGTGTAAACTCTGTGAAAAAGCTGCTTAGTTATCACTATCAAACTGTTAAATGTATTTTAAATTAAATTAAATGTATATTTGATTGTAATTGGCTTAATAATGTATTATTCAATTATAATTATCTATCATTTATTAAAAAACATATTTGCCAATGACAATGACAGTAACATTAAATATTGCTTTATTAATGTCAGATAGATATATTCTTTTCTGGTAATTAATACTCCTTAACTACTGGCCAGTTTAAAGTTTTAAATACACATCAATGCTATACGTATTATGCATATTGTTATAAATATTAATAATGGTAATCATAATTAAAAAATTATGATGAGGAAATATTATGGTGGCAGGTATAACTGTGATAAACATATTAATGTACATTGTAAAGTAATTATATTTCCTTAAAATCCTTATATTTTCCCAGTTGTCATTTGAGAGAGAATTATTTGTGGAAGCAACAGATGATTGACATAAACAAACAGACACACAATCTGCATAATCAACACAAAAGCACCGTAAATAGCTCCTATTGAACAATAGAGAATATAAGCCATGGCTGGGCAAGAGTTTAAAAACATCTGAGAGATCAGGAGAGTTGTAGCACGGACTGAATGATAACGCTGTCAGCATAACCAATTAGAAATCACTATCATACGTGAGCACCACCTTCTTGAGGTGACAGCAGAAGTTAATATAAAGGATTTACAGGACAAAAAAAATGTTCTGAGCTAAGAAAGTAAAAGTTAACATAATATGATTTGCAATCGTGTTAATCACCCAATAATGAGAGGTCTTTGATAAACCTTTTTCCTTCAAATACTTTTTAAGACAAATCCTACATGTATAGACTCAGAACATTGCACATAGACATAACAGAACATTGCTATGCAACAAAAACAATGACATTATTGGTGCAAGTACATTATTTGTACTTGCCTCTAATTTACACATGCACAACTTGTAGAATTTTAACTAATTTATAGCAGATGAAAATGTTAACCTATATCAAAGTCTGAGAGACACACATTCTGGATCGAACCCCAACTGCACACATTTGTGAAATCACAATAAACAGTTATTATTCACTTTAAACGAACAATGAATTGTACTTGCCTCTAATTTACACATGCACAACTTGTAGAATTTTAACTAATTTATAGCAGATGAAAATGTTAACCTATATCAAAGTCTGAGAGACACACATTCTGGATCGATCCCCACTGCACACATTTGTGAAATCACAATAAACAGTTATTATTCACTTTAAACGAACAATGAAATTGACACTGATACTACACCACTTGGGTAGAGAGAGTTGTTAACCCCCCTTCAGAATGCAGTATCTTAAAACCACACAACAGTTTGTCCCATGTGAGAAGGCCCCCCTCACTGTCTTCAGACAGGGTCACTTTCCTAATATAGTCATGCCAAACTGCCCATGTGTCTCCCCCTCTGTCCCCTCCAGACATGATCCTTCCATATTCACAAAGGGACAGAATGAAAATATACCAATGCCAACGTATACAGCGTGCGCTATTTTTCAAAACAAGCTCCGCGCACACCTGACCTTTAATTATAGATATTCCTACAGCAACTCAATGAAGGAGCAGAACGTGCTGCACCGATACAATATGATGATGTCACAGCCTATTCGTAACAATAACAAAACAAAACTTTACAAAAACTATACAACGCGCGTGTCGTCACGATGCAGCATTCTATCATGAGGAACTGCGTATCTGTCAATCAAATGAATCACTTACCGCTGTCTTTGGGGAATGTACGTCTTTAAATCTGCTCTTCCCCTTTCTCAAGACGGTTTAAGGCTCCTCTCGACTCTGCAATTTTTAGAAGTGTCTCGTTTATTCCAGGTCACAAACTTGGAGCGGACTCGCAGAACTAGAGCGAGTTCCTCCTCACTAGTCGTTCCTGAATATCGAGCGAGAAGAGAGAGAAATCTGTGGACTGGGGGGCTGGAGAAGTGCACAGACAGGGGTGTACATGTATGGCAAGCCATTGTAACAAATACCCTTAACCCTTTCGCACGTGAGTTTAAAATACTCGAGCTGAGCCCCCAGCTTGAGTTTTTTTTAGGCGACCTTTATTTTAAAATGCATTATTGTTTCCATGGCGACGCGTCATGCTTGTCATGTGACACAGTGCAGCCACAATACAGCTGTATGACACATGGATCGCTTTTATTTCGTTTTTCCTGTTTTATTAAAAATATTCACAAACATGCTCACTATATTATGAAATATCTGATATTCCGATTCTGAAATATGTGCAAGTAAATGTATTTGGTAGTTTAAACACTTTTATATCGACCGTGCTAGTTGATCTATACCGGGTGATGGGCGCCGCCATGTTAGTTTGAGCTGATTCCGAGCTGTGGGATTTACAACACGCAAATTCATCCTCTCCTACCGAAACACGTTAAAGTAGGTCTCTGGTAAACTGGGAGAAGAGCAGAGTAAACTTTATAGTTACCTACACAATCTGTATATGATATCAATAAAAACATGTCGTCAGATTATATTTGTAAGGATCATTATTGCCGTTTCCATAGACATCAGCGTGCATTTTACAAACTGTAAATGTATGGTTTTGCTAGTACTTATGTGTATTTAAATGTCTGAAACCTAAAATAAGGATTATATGGTTGAAAACAATGAATATTTGTGATAATATGACAAGCGCTTAGCGCATCCGATCTGGCTCTGCGTGAAAGCGGATTTAAATTCAGCAGTCGATGACGTGACGCACTGAAAGTTCTAATCACACCGGTGTGATCGTACACTTCAGGGACCAGCCAAGACTGATCACACCGGTGTGATCGTACGTCGAGCGTCAAAGGGTTAAAAATAAGTATTAGTAACTAAAATATATACTAGTAAGTAGTCCAATAGTGACTAGCATCTACCTTTAAATGTACAATACTTATCAGATTAAATTCTATCACTTATTCTAATAGTGACTAGCATCAATTCAACTAGTCACTAGTATGTATTATATACTAGTACTTATTCCTTAGCTTCTAGTATCTAATAAGTACTGTGTGCAATAAATTCTAGCAACTATTTGAATATTACAGTAACTAATTATTAACAGTAAATGAGTAGTTAGTGAAGTGGTTATTTTTGCTGTAACTGAGGTAACAACGAACAAGACAAACAATGCAACATTGCAATATAATGAAAGGTGTTATATGTAACTTTTTTGAAAGTACTAACACATAAAAATATCACAATATGTTTGCACATATTTAGGAAACATGCTAAATTCATATACTTGTTTCTCCAAAAAACAATGTTACAGTCAAGTTATTCTACTTTGCAATGGGGATTCCATTTTGGAATGTTTGTTTTTGTTTTGGTCTGTGTGATTCCGCACACCGAGCCTGCTTTAAAAAAATATCAGATCTTGGGATGACCAATCAGAATCTATTATTCCAGACAACCGTGTAATACTTTAATAAATACTTACAACTATAGGATTAGTTAAATCATAATGTTAAATGTGAAATTGGCTTGCCATAGTGTATGGGCTTATTTTGGACCCCACTGACTTTAATTGTTAAAAAAAACAAAAAAAAAACAAATAATAAATTTTTCAAAATATCTTCTTTTGTGTTCTACAGAAGAAAAAGTCATACAGAATTGTCATTTTTGGGTGTGCTATCTCTTTAATCACAAACTCACCATGGCAGGCACAAACACACGTACACTCACACACAGAATAAAAGTCACATAGTGTGGTAAGGGTTTATGGTCTGTTTCTTCAGCCTCTGCAGGGGATGCGTCCTCCCATATTGTTGGCGTGTTGCCACGGTTATCAAGGCAGAAGCAGGTAACTGGGCGTAACCTGCCTCCTCCTGTGCATTATCCCGCCTCCAACACTGATTGGAGGGTGGGGAGAGTGGCAGTGGCATGGACATGACATCATAGTCACTATATTCTGCCTCTTCAGTCTTATCATCATTCTCTACATGTCCAAGCATATGAGATCCAGTGGAAGAAATAGGAGAGGCAGAAGAGCAAGGGACAGCAGGAGTGCAATGGGGCAAAACGCATTTCTTTTTTGAGGTATCATCACTACAAAAGTGGGGACGTGGCTTATTGGTGGGAGCAGAGAGTAAGGCAGGACTTAAGTCAAGCTCGCTCAGGTCAACAGGCGAGAGCTCCAAAGACCCAAGTTTGGCCAACGAGGCTGAGCGCTTCATCATTGAGGGTGGGGTCAGGCCAGCCTGCCGGATCCGAGCCTCCACCTCTTTGGTCCTCTCTCGCGCAGCCCGGCCCTTTCTTTGCTCCCTCCTGGACCACGGTTGGCTGAGTCGCCTGTCCGAGCAGCCACTCACCTGCCAGAGGAATGCCCCAAGCTTTTTCAGGGTCTCCCAGGTTTCCCTCATGTCTTTTGGACAGCGTCCCAGTGGACAATCAGAGTCTGTGTAACTCTCCTGCTCGGTGATTCCCTCCAGCTGTAGAACCATGGCCAGAGACGAGCTAGATGAAATGGAATGGCTTTGTCTTGAGTGCGTGAGGCCGGTGTTCATGCGCTCTCCCTCCCTGAGTTGTCTCTCGCACTCTTTTCCCATTCTGTCCTCATCAGCTGAAAGACTCTCGTCTTTCTCCACCTTCATGTTGTCCATGTTGTTCTGAGGCTGGTGATGGCGTGTTGACACAGTGCTTGGATCAGGTGTGAGGTGTGTGTGAGATGAGGTCTTCTCAGTTTTCTCTCTGCTGCTGGTGTTGATGGGGGAGCGTCGCGAGGGACACGCAGGGGCCGAGGACACCAGTGCCACTGACGAGACCTCCTGCTTGATCTTCTGCTCAAGCTCCCTGGTGGCTCGCCGCACGGTGCCCTTTGGCCAGTCGCTTTGCTGGTCCTTCCCATGCTCCACATTCTCTTTTTCAGCTTCCGCTGATGTGGCTTGTGTGAACTCCTCCTCCTCACTGCTGCTACTGGAAACAGGTTGGCTGATAGGAGGGGGGGGAGGGGTTACACTGTGCCGTATTGAATCCATTTCTGAAACTATATTATGGACTGAGACACTGCAGCTCTCCTGTAGCAGAAAAACAGGGACATGGGTTGGTTATTTTCTTTGAATATGTACCTTCATTATTTTGTGATGTAAAGGTGAAGTGTACAATTTGTATGCCTCTTGTGGCACAAAGTGGAACTGCAAAAATGTGAGTGGTGCTTGACCGTGCTAAGCTCAGCCTTGATACTAGGGTTTTTGAAAGTTGCCAATAAGTTACTATGTAATTGCTATGGTATTCTGTGGTGGGATAAATTTCTGTGTATCAAAAAAAGCCATGTGACTTTGCGTCAATGAGTCGTGTGACTGAATAGTTCATAAAAGAGAATAAAAGAAAACATGTTTATCTGGTCATTTTGAAATGCAGGAGCCAAAGCATGTCAAATATCTTGCCTCCCAGAAATGAACATAAGACATCTGCTGTCTAGAGCTAGCAAGCAGGAAGTTCATCAGAGCGTTCTAACCTGCAATAATTTTTTACATTTTAAATGTATTCATTTTAATATTGTTATTCATTACATAAATTACATTTAATAAAAAGCCACAGTGGCCTTTCCAGTGATTCCAACTTCCATTGGTATTGATATTTTGCACCAGTTTTCCCGAGAAGTGACAATTGTCTATTGAGCACATCGGATGGAACTGTTTTTGCAATGTTTCGATTTTTGTTCTTTCCATATAGATTAAATTTGTAACTTGCATGAAAAAACATTTTTAGTAAGTCAATATTTGATTGGTGTATTTTTAGTTTAAACAGGAACATTAAACTGAAACAGGAAGTATTTTACCATAAAAAATAAAAAAAATCACACACTTCACTTTTCACTCTAATTGTGCATGAAAACTGAATGCAACTGCAGCAGACTGATCAGCACCATGACAGATGAAGGATCCCATTCAACATTTCTCATCAACAGTGGGTGGCAGTGTGGGACATGACTTCATTCAAACATGATTAGGGTGAGACACAGTATGGGAACGGAACCTGATTTTAATAAAGTTTGGCACTTACTCTCAGGAACATTATTCCCTTGCTGCAGGACAATAACATAATATTAAGACAGATGCATTCAAAGCTTTGACCAGCTGTCTAAATAAGCATTTAAGGTCATTCATAGAGGTTGAATTTATTTAATTGAGAATTAACATAAAAGTAAATAAACTCTTGTTTATTTATGCATTAAAAAAATTAATTTCTTAAAAGGGATAGTTCGCCCAAATATTTTTTGGGTGAACTATTCCTTTAAGAAATTAATTAAACAATTATAGCATTGTAGGGTTAAACAGACATTTCACCAAAAATTCTGTCATCATTTACTCACCCTCATAATCATGTTGTTCCAAACCTGCAAGTATACTCTCAGGAACATTATTCCCTTGCTGCAGGACAATAACATAATATTAAGACAGATGCATTCAAAGCTTTGACCAGCTGTCTAAATAAGCATTTAAGGTCATTCATAGAGGTTGAATTTATTTAATTGAGAATTAACATAAAAGTAAATAAACTCTTGTTTATTTATGCATTAAAAAAAATAATTTCTTAAAAGGGATAGTTCGCCCAAATATTTTTTGGGTGAACTATTCCTTTAAGAAATTAATTAAACAATTATAGCATTGTAGGGTTAAACAGACATTTCACCAAAAATTCTGTCATCATTTACTCACCCTCACAATCATGTTGTTCCAAACCTGCATTATTTAAATGTCTTAATTATTCAAGTCTCTTTCTTTTGTGGAACACAAGTCATACAGATTTGGAATGGCATGAGAGTGAATAAATGATGAAATTATCAATCCCTATTAGGGAAGTTTCCAAAACTACACCAAGACTGCACATTCCCACAATTTTTTAATACCCCCTTGCCTTTTTCTGTTCCTCCTCATTGATAGGGTTGTCAGGAAGTAGCCGTTTGGTCTCTATACTCTGGCTTTTGTCCCGAGGTGTCTGCTGCACCGCCTGCTCAGAAGTCCCACAGATCTGACCCTCTTGAGAAAGGCCCTGGAACTTCTCTCTGGCACTGAAGAAGTCAATGCGGTCTGTGCTTAGAGTCAAGGGAGGGGTGGTAGAGAGCCCAGCTCTGTGTAATGTGGCAATGGGGTGGTGGTCTTCATCACTGCTGTAACTTATTCCCACACAGTCTGTCTCCGTGTTAGGCACTTGCTGGCTGATATCCTGCAGCCCTGAAGAATCCGAGGTCTGTGTGCAGGGCTCAGGAGTCCTACTCCTAATGCTCACAGATGAGAGCACCTTTGGACTAGACTTCTCCAAAGGCACAAGAATGGACACCTCAAGCTGCTCAGACAGACCTTGCATTGTCTTTGCATCTGAGAGAAGCCTAGGGGACGAGGGTGGGTTATGTACAGCGGCGGGTGGATGAGGACGACCCAACGGGAAAGTCTCTGCAATAGTCACGGAGGTGACATCGGATCTGGCCTCTGGGACCACAGTGGCAGCCCTAGGTCTGGGGAGGGAAGGGGTCTCTGTGGGTTCATGGAGGTTGTCGTCTGGGTTGCCCAGGCCATTGTAAATGTGGGTATCTGGCCAGGGTATCGTATCAGGCTCTGTCTGCCCCTTAGCTTCAGTAGCACTGGCTGAGGTGGGTGTGAGAGACTGCAGTAGCTCCTTTATTGAGGGTGATGTCTGACCGAAGGTCTGGTTGCGGGAATAGGAGCGTCCGAGAGACTGTGCAGCAGTGGCCTTACAGAGTGGCTCATGGTGCTCTGACAAATCACTATCCGAGTGGGAACGCCACAACTTATTGTGTCTCTGTTTGCTAGTATGGAGAAAGGGAAAGGTTGGGTAAACAAACCATCCAGGAGTCGGTATAACTACTGAAAATAGCAAGGTATAAAAGGAACTAAAGGTTTACAATATATTTTGGTGGCTGATAAATTATTTTATATTAAGAAAATTTGATTTTAATTATTGAAAGTAATTAAAGTAGAATTACACATGATAATTCTAACTGATAGCGTGTTACAATAAATTTGTTTTTGGCTGCATTTTTATTTATTAATTTTTTTGGTGCACTTAGGACCTAACCAGTCTCACTTGTCAATGTGCATGCTTGCACACTGTGTGTAGACATGAGCTGAAAGGATTCCATGTTTTTAGCCAAGGTGACATCACTGTGAGGATTTTTTCAAGATCTATGCAGCATGTTATGTTTGGGCTAGTTTTAATTGGGATCATCTGCTTTAAGTAGCAAATGCCATTTTTCATATTCTGTTTATGTTTCACGTTTATTATTCATTATTAACAGCCCAGAAATTCCTCAGTGTATCTATATAACAAGTATTAATATTTTGGTGAATAAAAAAATGCTGTTTTTGATGCAAACTACAAATGAATTATAACATTTTTCTGCAGGTGAGCACAGAGTCACTCATAGAACATTTGTCTTATTTCACACCCTCTGCTCTAATCAGCTGAGTGAATATTGACTGTAACAACACATTATTTGCAGTATATACATGCCAGCTTGTGGCGTAAGACTGTTAAATGACAGAGAAATGTCAACTGTGGTATAACTACTGGAAGTTTTGTTAATCTTAAATTGACCATATCATGAAGACAGGATTTTCTTGCTTTACCTAAATAAAAGAGCATGCTTCAATAAACAAACTACTGTTCAAAAGTTTTGGGTTGGTAAGATTTTTCAAATGTTTTTCAAAGGTGCATTATTAATTTGATCAAAAATACAGTCAAAACAGTAATAATGTAAAATATTATTTCAATTTAAAATAACTCTTTTCTATTTTAATATATTTTAAAATGCAATTTATTCCTGTAAAGGCAAAGCTAAATGTTCTGCAGCCATTACTCCAGTCTTCAGTGTCACATGATTCTTCGGAAATCATTCTAACATGCTGATTTAATGCTCAAGAAACATTTCTTATTATTATAAACTTTTACAAACAAAAGTTTGAACTGCTTATAATGGGTCAGAAAGAGAATGGAAAATGGTGTAACACTAACGTCAGTGAGCTTGAGTGGTTTTGTCAGAACTAAAAAAAACGTGAATAATCCCATTCAGTGATTTTACAGGAAGTGTAAAATACCCACCCACACCAAAGCCCATATGCACAAACCTACAACCTCTGAGACGCAAGCACACAATCAAAGATGCACAAGTTACTAAGTGGAATGTGGTCAAACCACCACTGTAACTTCTCAATGAATACAATCAGAGCCCTATAATCAACTGTGAAAAGAAACATGTCATTATAATGGAAGTGAGCGTGTCTGTGGTCATTAGAGTGAGTGGCATACCTGCACGTTTAAATATCTGAATGCACACAGACATTTCCTGATATTCACATGACTACACACATTCAAATGACACATTTACCTGGCCATCAGGATTCCCTGATACTCTTCCAGCTGTCTCATAAATGATGGGTTGGGTTTGGTGACGGCTCGCCGCTCTTTAACATACTCAAAGGCCTGCTCCAGGTCCCAGCCGTACTCCTTCATGGCATATGCGATCACAGTGGAGGCCGAACGACTAACGCCCATCTTACAATGCACCAGACACTTCGCCCCTGCTTTCCTGTAGGTATCATATTAGTCTTGTGTTAAAATATGGATATAGTGCTAGTACTGACAACATGACATTTCTTGGAGAAAAAAAACTAAAGCGCAGGTTAACAATTCATTTAAATTAAGACTTTATCTGAAACCAAGGAGCAGAGAGAAAGAAAAAGAGACTTTAAACCTGAAACTTTGGTTTTTATACTTTGGTTTTGGCTTTTATACTAATGCAGTGTTCACATTATGTCAGAATTACAGTCATTTCAAGTTCCTTACTGAAAAATTTTCATGCCTTTATTGAACCTGTAATTATAACTGATGAAAAATCTGAGTTCTTCAGTATTCCTAATAGTTTATCTTTATGATTATTCCTTCATGTTGTGTAATGGATGTTATTTGAAGTTCTTAATCATTTGGATTTCCAGCAATTGTATTGTTCATTGGTTTTCTAATGTAAAATTCCTTGAAATCTGTTTAAATGAAAATGTAGATTTTTTTTTCACTTCACTGTTGTGACGTGATGTTAAAAGAAAACCAGCAGCAAAATGGCGATTGCCTCAACAGTAAAAAGCGAGTTAGATACCTCAACATATTTTAATATGCAATTTTATTATAGTCAGTATTGCAAATGCATATTGAGATGAATTAATTAGTATTAATTAATATTGAAAGAATATTGGTTATTGGCTGATATTAGTGAGTTATTAGTGAGAGAATACTGGAAATCCTGTATATCGAACCAATACTAGACATAAAGCTCAGTTCCCATATTTTTACATTTAGATTATCTTTGATGTTGTCTAATGCTCGCTCTAAGTTAGTCTTTAATAACATCATTTAATAGCACTGTTAAATGCAAACTCAAAATATATTTCCATTTTTAATACTGTACAATATTGTGATGCCCTTTTATCACTTAACATTTAAAACTATACTTTATTTTTTGTTTTATATTAATGTTTTGAATTTTAATAGTGTAGTAATATTTAATATAATAATATTAGTTATCTGTTGTTTTTTACTGTCTTATTGGTATCGGCCAGAATTTTAATACATCCATATAATTAATGTATTGATAAAGTATTTTCTTGTCATTAACAACATCAATTTGCAGTTATGAGCAATACCAAAATGATTCAGAGTAGAATCTCACAAATGTAATTTTGACATGACATAAACGTAACATAAGTATTTAGAAAGAGCACACGTTCTTTGTTAATAAACATCTTTGTATAACAATTACAGCTAGAACACCTGTGTGTTTTACTCCAAAGTGAGCATTAGGAGGTTACTCATACTCACTTTGCTCTAGAGATAAATTTGTAAGTGTCATTCCAGTAAGCCAGCAAGTCTGTGGCCTCTTCATCATAAACCCTGATATTGTGGTACTCAAATAGGCCTGGAAAGAAGTTATCGATCTCCCGCGTCACATTAAGGATGTATTGCACCCTGATAGTAAACACAAAGACATAATGGAAAATCTGTGTAATCATTAACGCCAGGAACAGATTTCAAAGAGAATAATAAAGGATAACACAGATTTATGGCTTAAACAGTCTGGCAAGTAGTTTCTATTGCAGGTATTATAGGTATGTGTGTTTTCATAGACAAGGATGTCAACAAAACTCACCCGGTGTTTTGTAGCTCTTCCAGATTAGATGCATTCCATTCAGAACCCTATAATTATGTGCAATTCAAAAATGACTTATGGTACAACGTAACTGAAAAGTATGATTAAAATGTATTGATGACATAACTCTTACCAGGTAAACATGCTCAAAAATCTCTGTGGGCCTGTCCATCTGCCCTAAGATGACGATCATCTCATTATCAATGTACTCCTTAAATTCCCGTAGATTACACACCATCTGCATCTCCAGCTCTGTGCGGATCTAAACAGAAGTGTGTGTGCAGGTACAACGTGTGAGCTGAGTACACGTCAAGGTTATTATAGTTTTTAATTTTTAAATTAGTTTTATTTTAATATCATTTTCAAATTTGCTATACAATTCAGTTTAGTTTTTATTAGTTTCATTAATATTGTTGTTAGTTTTAGTTTAGTTTTTATTTCGTGAACACATTTTTATTTAGTTTTTATATAGTTTAGTTTTAATTAAAGGTTAGCAGAATTAACAGATCACTTCCAGAGCGCAGGCCAAAGAAAGACTTGGGCATAATTTAGCCTTAGTGATGCAAATGTCTAGTGACACAAAATTAACGCATGCTGAGATTGATTAAATGGTAAAAGTATACGAATATACGCCAAAAATGAAGCAGTCAAGCCTTTTTACTAAATAAATCTACACAAGTTGTGCATAATGTCATATCTAATGATGTGTATTGAGATATTTAATATGACAATAAATGTAGCCTAATTTGGTTATGATGGTTAGATGTCTTTTTTCTTTTTTAACAATCATAATATATTGTAACTGTCGTGTCTTGCTCACTTTTCTGTGAACAACTGCGCATAAATCATAACTGGGACTAATGAAATTCAATAATAACGGCAATCGCATTAAGGCTCATCACATTGAATATGTTCTTTTCATTTATTAAGAATTATAAGCGTGTTTATGATGTGATTTAGCCTATGCACATTTGTCCGAAAGCCTGGTAGAGTGATCACAAGATGCTATGCTAAAGTTTTGTATTGTTTTCAGAAAGGATGCGCGTTCTTGTCTTTTTTTTCTGTTAATTATTACTGTGACGAGAGGGGCGGGGCCGAGAGCCGTGGGAACGGAGCGAGGCCGGTGGAGTAATTGATGATGAGCGACACCTGCACCACTGACTGGTCTCGAGTCTCACGGAGGAGCTCCGGAAGGATAAAGAGGAGGAGGGACGACAGTGAAAGACGAGAGAGGACCAGGCCTGGAGTTTATTTTGTGTTTTGGTTTTGTTTGTGCGCGAGGGGCTGTCGTGCTATTTTGTGTTTGTTTATTTTATTATTAAAATCTTAAATGTTCGCCGGTTCCGGCCTCCTTCTTCCCGACCTACAAACTATGCTACAATTACATTGCGCTGCGTGTCTGTTTTTCTTCAAAGCACCAACTTAGAATGCCTAATTTTGGTTTGCTTGCTTGTGTTACATGAGAAAATAAATAATTTTGCCTACCTGGTTCGCGACTCGCAGTCTTTGTCAAACGGGTCTGGTCTGGTACAGAATTAAATTAGTGCTGCTGTTGGATAACGGGTCGAGTGTTCTGTTAAGTACTGCTGGTGCACGTTTACCAAACAGGACCCATACAGGACTCTGCTTTAAACTGCTTTGCGTCTCTGCATAAGATAACCTCACGTGTGCAATGCTCCATTTACAGGTATTTCCCTAAACCGCCGGCGCTCATATATTTTTCCGCCAAGGGATGAGAACGTAATGATTATGAAAACAATTATTTATTTTTGATAATTATTATTTAATTTCAGTTAGTTTTTCAATAACTGTTGTTTGTTTCGTTTCGTTTTAGTTTTTCAATTATTTTGTCATTTTTATTTTATTTCAGTTTACGAAATAGTTTTTATCATCAATCGTTTTCGTTTTCGTTTACGAAAATAACCTTGGTACACGTGAGATGATTCTACTGAATAAATAATCCAGGATGTGTATTTGCATCATACATCTTTAGAGGTGACGTTCTCAAGGTCCTTCTGCATCATGATCTCTCTCAAACGAGTCTTGATGAGTCTCTCTGTTCTTTCTCGCTCGGTTGGCCTGGAGACACAAAGCAAAAAAAATAAAAATAAAAAAGATAACACTTTCAAAATTCTGTTAACATTACATCACTTGAAAAAAATATTTATGCAGATCTTAACACATCAAATGGTACAACTTTGCAAGAAAAATATATATTCTATTATCTATTAGCCATATTTAGAGAAAGTGTTTTGTTCTAAAATATAAAGTTCCATGATGCATCAAAATTGGCATCAGTTTGCTCAAATTGCAGGACCATTCACAAATTAGTACTCACACTTCTGAGAAGAGCACAGGTGAGTCTGCGCGGTGGGACTGCACGTCCTGCATAGCGTTCCACTCACTGATGAGGGCCTGATCTGAAGTCACTCGGCTCTGGTAGTAACTCACCCAGGTCAGGAAGAGGCTGCCTGGGAAGTAGTTCTGACAGCGGGCCATTTCACAGGCCTTATGAAGAGACTGCAGGGCAGACCTGAGAGAAAAAGGTGCTCCATATCAAAACATGCCACCATATCAGCTTTTCTTTAATGTGATCCAAGAATAATTTCGAGTTTCTCTTGTTGTGGGTAAGATTACGGTCAGTTTTTCTTGCAGCAGTTAGTTAGATTCTGTTTGTACATCATTGAGGTTTGTTGGGTCAGTTTTCCTAGGTTGTGTGTAAAAGAAAAAAACATTTCTCTAAGCTCCTCTCTTAGGACACAGAGAGCATAGTAGATGTTATCACAAGATTTTGTCTTCACTACCAATCATTGAGCTGGTAATACCTGCTATGACCTCATTGACACAAACTGTAATCAGTATGGATAATCTCCCTTAATTGAATATTGATTTGTAGATACTGTTCGCATATTTCTGTTCATTCTACAGATAAGACGCCTTGACATTCCCTTTAATAGATATGGCATTAAAGCCCCATTTTCTTTTTCTTACATTCTACACATCTTTCCACTCACTTATCTTGCTATTTTGTTTCAAATTCTGTCATAAAATGATGCCCGTTCTCCCAATTTATAATTTAAATGAACTTTTGAATATATGTTAAAATGTAATTTATTCCTGTGATGACAAAGCTGAATTTTGAGCAGCCATTACTCCAGTCTTCATAAAGACTGCTGTTGTGAATATTTTTGTGGAAGCCATATTTTCAGGATTCTTTGATGAAAGTTCAAAGGAACAGTTTTATTTGAAATGGAAATCTTTGGAGTCATTCTAATATGTATTTTAATGTCACTTCTGATCAAATAAAGGCATCCTTGTTCAAATAAAGTATTGATTTCTTTAGAGAAAATTCTACAGACTACAATCTTTGAATAGTAGTATATGTTGTGTGATTTGTGCTTTTGAGACAGGGGTATATTGTTGCTCTCTCGTTGGTCTGATTGCTTCTACTTAGTAAGTCGCTTTGGATAAAAGCGTCTGCTAAATGACTAAATGTAAATATTAGGGTTGGACTAATACTAAAAAAAATTTTTTGGTACAATATCAGCCTTTAGTATCTCAGTATCAATATTAGATCAAAATCTAATTAACAGCCTAGGGATGATAGATGACATGAAACTAGGGTCAAATTATTTAACAATTCAATGATAATAAGCTCTCATATTTATCATTTTAATTATTTAAAAATATATAATTTAATTATACAATAATTCATCTTTTTTTTTTTTTTTTTTTTTTTTTTTTTTTTTACAATAAATGCATAGTTTCTTTTTATAAAAATAATAAAATATGTAACAAAACATAAATACATAAAAATAAGTTAATGGAGCAATACAATTTTTCCATGAATAGAGGGCAAATGACTTTTGACTATGACTATTTTTTAAATATCTAACTGTATTTGAATAAATGACAATGAAATATGATAACAAATTTCATTAAGTGTTCAAAATATTGACGCATAAAAAATCTTTTTTTTAACATTTATATTTATTGAATCTCAGGAAAAAAGGAAAGGCACCCACCACATGGCTTGGACTGATACAGGCTTGAATATGTGTATCTTGTTATCTGTAGACACACTAAAACCCCTGTGAAGAAAAAAGATAAGTGAAACACTATCTGAACTACCTGCAGGAGAGTCAGATGTGTCAGTTTTTAACAGATTTGCCACACCTACCCATCACCATCCAGGTGGATCCGTGTGTCACTCCACAAAGGAAGCACCATGCCTATGGAACAGGAACTGCAACGAACACAAAATGCAATAATTTGTTGTTACTATATTTGATTGGTTTAACTTACCAGTAAAAGTAGTAGCACACACAAACCTGTCGGAGGGGCTGAAGTCCATGCCCAGCACCACACTCTCTTCTGTGTCCTGTCTGCCATTAGTGGAGACCACCACCATGTAACGTGTGCACTGCGGGTATGCGCTCTCCAACCGCACAGCCTGTAGGGAGAGTAGAGAGTTAAGTCAGAAAAAACATAGCATCAGTATTTTAAGCCTTTTGACTTTTTATGATATGATTTACATCTTGTCCATTTTGATAATTCTTATATGTGAAGGATTCATGCAGTGTGGGCTGATTTTGGCCAAACCATGCCCAAAAAAAGTTCACTGTTTTGGTGGCGAGCTAGTTACTGTGTGTGTGTGTGTGTGTGTGTGTGTGTGTGGTGCTCACCAGGCGGATGTTGTCCTCTGGCCGCAGTAATGTGAACATTGTCTGCAGGTGCTGCTGAAGGTCCCCTGCACCAAAAGTTCAAATTGTTCATTAACTATAAATATTCACATTCTTTTTATTGCTTATTTTGCTTGTGTTGTCTAACGAACGCCCTTACCTGCATGTTTGCTGCGCTGAGCTGTGATTATGGAGGAGCAGGATAAGGAAGAGGAGCCATTCCCACGTGGAAGGAAAAGGGCAGCACCTTTTACTGTTAGGAAGCTTTAACTGATGCTGAGGACAGAGAAAGAAACAGAAATTGAAATATAGCGTTTATCTGAATACGTTTTTTTGTTGTTGGGGGGGGGGGGATACTTTTAATACTTAGAAAAACTTTTAATCAGCGAGGATGCATTAAATTAATCAAAGATAACAGTAAAGACAATGTTACAAAAGATTTATATTTTAAATAAATGTTCTTTTTGCATTTCTATTTATCAAAGAATACTGAAAAGTACTGTTTAAACAAAATTATTAAGCAGCACAACTGTTTTCAACATTTATAATAAAAAATGTTTCTTCAATATATGAGTTTGATTTCTGAATGATCATGTGACACTGAAGACAGGTAAAGGTAGCTTTGCCATCTCTGGAATAAATTACATCTGAAAACATATCAAAATAGACAACGGTTATTTTAAATTGCAATAATTCTTGACAAAATTTCAGTATCTAGTCATGGCCAACAGTTTTGGCAGTGACATAAATTGTGTTTTGCAAAGTTTGCTGCTTTAGTATTTGTAGATTATTTTTCCACATGTTTCTATGGTATACTGAAAAACAGTGATAAGCATATAAGTTTTAAAGGCTTTTATTGGCAAAAAATATAATGAGTCAATATTTACAGTGTTGACCCTTGTTATTCATAACCTCTGCAATTCGCTCTGGCATGCTTGATATTAGCTTCTGGGCCAAATCCTGACTGATGGCGATCCATTCTTGCCTTATTAGTTCTCGGAGTTGATCACAATTTGTGGGCTTCTGCTTGTCCACTCGCCTTTTGAAGACTGACCACAGGTTCTCTATGGGATTGCGATCCGGGGAGTGGCCTGGCCACAGATCCAAAATTTCAATGTAATGATCTTCGAGCCACTTCTTTATCACTCTTGCTTTGTGACATGGTGCTCCATCATGCTGGAAAATGCACAGATCATCACCAGATTGCTCATGGATTGTTGGAAGAAGGCGCTCTTGCAGGAAGTTTTGATACCATTCTTTATTCATGGCAGTGTCTTGGGGCAGAATTATGAGAGAGCCAACTCCCTTGGTTGAAAAGCAACCCCTCACATGGATGGTCTCAGGATGCTTTACTGTTGGCACAACACAGGACTCGTGGTAGCGTTCACCTTTTCTTCTCCGAACAATCGATTTTTCCTGATGTCCCAAACAGTCGGAAGGGACCTTCATCAGAGAAAATAACTTTGCACCAGTCTTCTGCTGTCTAATCCTTGTACTTCCTGCAGAATTTCAGTCTGTCCTTGATGTTTTTCTTGGAGAGAAGTGGCTTCTTTGCTGCCCTTCTTGACACCAGGCCGTTGTCCAAAAGTCTTGGCCTCACTGTGCGTGCAGATGCTCTCACACCAACCTGCTGAGCAAGCTCTGCAATGCTGGTGACACGATTCCGTAGCTGACTCCTCAGAAGGAGACGGCCCTGGCGCTTGTTGGACACTCTGGGACGTCCTGAAGACTTCTTCACTACAGTCGAACCTCTCTCCTTGAAGTTCTTGATGATCCGGTAAATGGTTCTTTCAGATACAATATTCTTTGTAGCAATTTCCTTGCATGTGAGGCCATTTTGATGCCAAGCGATGATGGCTGCACGTGTTCCTTTGGAGGTAACCATTGCTAACAAGAAGACAATGATTGGAAGCACTTCTTCCCTCCATATATAGCAATCAGTCTACTCTTACAATCTAATTAGTATGATAGTGATTTTACCTGACTAGTACTCATTCACACTTTCACATGTGCTGCTGATATGATTAGTCAATTAATGTTAGCAGGTCATTTTGTGTCAGGATCAAAAAACAGTGAAATTTGTTTTTTTGTGAAAAGTTTTTTTTGGCCAATGAAGCTTTTAGCAATTATTTAAAATGCATCTGATCACTCTACACAATAATCTAGAAACATTGTGAATGAACACCACAACAGCTTAAGCAGCAAACTTTGCAAAACACAAAATTTATGTCACTGCCAAAACTTTTGGCCATGACTGTACTGTATTTTTTATAATAGATATTTAGATCGTTTTAGAATTGACTTTTAAAAACATAAAAAAATCTTAGGGACCCCAAACTTTTGTATGCATTTTGGACTTTGTTTTGTGTTACTATCTTTACATAATTTAAACTGTAATATTTTGCAATACAAATAGAAGTTGACATTTTTTGAAGCATGCTTGCACATGCAAATGTTGCTAAGAACATGATGTTATGATGTCAGCAAAACACAATTAATTAAATTAAGTTAAACTTAAGAGAGGGAACCTAAACAGAACAGAAAAACAAATGCTTAATCTTATTTAATTGTGTTGGTGTATTTCTCAGAGGTTATTTTGTGAAATTTTAAAAAGTAGTTTCTTGCACTGAGAAATTAGTTTGTTTTTAAATTAGCCATGAGAGGAAAACATCCATCTTAACTGTGTCTATTATGTGAAAGAAACACTGTTTTATTTCTATCTTTTCTATGAATTCTAATGGGTTTTACATCCCGAGTGGAACATGAGACATTGAGTCCAGTAGGGGAATATGGGAGGACTCCTTTTTGAGGGCATTAGCTCACACACCAAACTCTCTGTGCAGGACGCAAACAAGAACACTCTGTTCCCCATCACTGCGACAGCTGGGGGATCTGTGTGTGCGAGTTTCTGTTCTTTGAATAATCCCATGCAACATATCTCCCTCCAATCAATGACATTCAGACTATGCAGACTGTAAAACAAGAGCAAGTGTGAATAGCAGAGAGAACAGAGAAGTGAGAGAGGCACGGATTCATTTAGTGCATGTGTGGCTGCTGTTTTGAGTCATGTGGTAACCATCTGTCTTTTTATGAGGGTGTTATTGTAAGTCAGATTGAAAGCGTGAGAATGAAGTATTATGGGAGTATGTACATGTGACTGTGTCTAAAGTCTGTCGCATCTCTTTAATGCTCTGTTGTTAATCATGAACCTGCTACGTTATTTTTATAACTACTATAAAGTGTCGTTTCTTATAAGATTTTGTTTTTGCAGCGTATTTGGGCCTAAGAGCTTTCTAAATATTAACAATACATCAATACACATTTTTTGTATTGAAAACATATTATATATATGTGACCATGGACCACAAAACCAGTCTTAAAGGGTTAGTTCAACCAAAAATGAAAATTAGCCCATAAATTTCCCTCAAGTCATCCTAGGTGTATATGACTTTCTTCTTTCAGACAAATCCAGTCAGAGTTATATTAAAAATTGTCTTTGATCTTTTAAAGCTGTTTAATGGCACTCAGCGGGTGTTGCAGTGGTTCAGTCCAAAAGAAGTTAAATAAAAAGCACCCATCCATAAAAAAAGTGTCTCACCGGGGGGTGAACAAAGGCCTCCTGTAAGAAAAATATCCATATTCAAAACATAATGATCACTTTAATGTAGCTTTAATGGGTGAGTAATGTATGGGCTAATTTTCATTTTTGGGTGAACTAGCCCTTTAAGTGTCAATTTTTCGAAATTGAGATTTATACACCATCTGAAAGCTTTCCATTGATGTATGGTTTGTTAGGATAGGACAATATTTGGCCGAGATACAACTATTTGAAAATATGGAATCTGAGGGTGCAAAAAAATCTAAATATTGAGAAAATTACCTTTAAAGCAATGCATATTACTAATCAAAAATTACGTTTTGATATATTTACAGTAGAACATTTGCAAAATATCCTCATGGAACATGATCTTTACTTAATATCCTATTGATTTTGGCATAAAAAGAAAAATCGATAATTTTGACCCATACAATGTTTGGCATAAAAGAAAAATTTATAACTTTGACCCATACAATGTATTTTTGGCTATTGCTACAAATATACCCATGCAACTTTAGACTGGTTTTGTGGTCCAGAGTCACATATACTGTATATATATATATATA